GAGGGCACTCCTCTCTTTTGCCATGTGCAAGGATGGGCCATTCAGCCACGGCCTCGACGATGGAAGGGCCCCCCCAATCTAAAGAATGTTGCACGGGTCGATCCGATCGACATGGTTCGATGTCGAATCCACTCGGCCCGATCCCATTCGAGTTGTTGTGCATTTTGGTGCGGCCGATCTGGATTCGATTCCGACGTCGTGCTAATACACCCATATCCAACCCCTCCAGCACGGTAAATTCTGAACGCTTCGCGTATCCACTAGCCCGCGCGCCCGCAATTACGGTGTTCGCGGCCCGTGCTTACTCTACTGACGCTGTCGGTTGGTCGGCCTGCAGCTGCGACAACAAATCCACTGGCCCATCCGGAATGTTCTTGGCCGTAGAGGCCCATGTCAGAGTCTCACTGAAGGTCACAGTGGAACAGTTCGCATGCGTTCCCCCCCCCCCACACACACACATTTCGGCACACCGCTTACACGCTTCGTGGCCGCATAGGGAGCTCGATCGAAGGTACCAGTTGGTGTAAGCGGCCGCTTGGTACATAGGTTGTGAGCTACCTTCAGAGTGTCGGTCCATCCCGCCACCGTGCATGGGTTGTGGGGGCCCTCTTGGAGGGATCCTGGGGCCTCTTGGGAGCCTCCAGGGAGGCTTCTTGGGAGCCTCTTGTGGCCTCTTGAGGGCATCTTGCGGGCATCCTGGAGGCCTCGTTGTGGCCTCGTGGGGGCGCCTTGGGGCCTCTGTGAGGTCTCTTTGGGGCTTGCTGGCGGTCCCAGGGGTGGTCTTGGGACGTTGGGGTGGACATGTATACTAGTTGTCCCTACCTTGGGCTCCTCTTGGAGCCCTCCTGGGCAGTCTCGGGAGTTGGGCCGTACAGTCAAAGCGCTGACATGAGGACCATTTTGGGCTCAGGAGATGCTCGGGTTTTCTGGCGGTTCCTTATGTCTAGGTCGGGGAACCTATTCGTAGACAAAGCCCGCCGTGGCTAGGAAAGCCCCTTGGTTCCTTATTTGGCGTTCCTTCTGGCAGTGCCATGACTGTTTTTTGGGCGTTTTGGAGGTCTCTTGGGCTGTCTGACGGCGATCCTGCGGGCCTCTTGGGCCGTCTTGGGGTCATCTTGAAGATTGATGTAGGCCACGTTGAGCATCTTGTGCCATCTTGAGCCGACGGAGCAGGAGAATCGTTGAACGATCTTTTGGAAATCAACGTTTGTTGCCTCGTTGGGCCTTCTTCGGTGTCCTCTTCTAGCGCTCTTGCGGGCATCTTGAGATGCTTCAGGCGATCTTCGGCTGCCTCGGAGCGGTCTTGGGCCATCTTGGGACTTCTGAAACCTTTTTGATACAATCTTACTCTCTTGGGCCCGTTCCCGGACCGCTACACGTCACCTGGATTGCGCTTTGGAGCCCCGAAGGCCACGCCCAGAAGTAAAAGATAACATCTCGGACCCACCCCCGGGGGCCGCCCTCCGCGCGCGCGAACTAGACATGCGATGGAGCTCCTATCAGAGATTCCATCACGCCTCTGGCCCGTTTGGCCAGCGAGTGTACCTTGAGATCCTGCAAGGGGTGCACAGCCATTGTGGCTCAAGTCGCTCGGGGCGAGGATGCCCGGAGGGCGGACGTGGCGGCCTGGGCGATGGACAGCCCGTGCTACCGCTTGGGCGCCACATCGGCGCTCAAGGAGGCCGACCAGGCAGCTGCCAAGGCAGGGCCCCGTCCGAATTGGTCGATCTGATTCAGTATCGCTAAACCGATTCCCATCCCCACTGGGCACTGGTATCGCAGCCCCACCATCCCATTGCCCCAGTTGGGGATAAGCACCCTCGACACCCGATGGAAAACAGTCTACGAGAATCCAAGGGCGAACATCGGCCAGAGGGGCCCAGGCCACGCCAGTGGGGATAGGGTTAGGTCGGGAACCATCTCATACAGGCGGATTTTGGAGGCAATATTCAAAATAGTCAAAACAATATGCAAACGTAGTGGAACAAACATCGTCCCCTGATTATTTTTTGAGAGGGACATGCCTGATTTGAGGACAGGGATCGCTAAAACGATGCTCTCTCTTTCACACACACGCACACACACAAATATATATATATATATATATATATATATATATATATATATACTGCGGGTTGACCCAAAAGGGGGTCCAGCTACCAGGTTGTGGTGCAATAGATTTGGTGCAATAGATTTGTGGGTTGGAACAGATCTGGGGCGTGCAGTACATTCCAGTGCGCAAGTGGATTGCTGGATTCTCGCGTGCAATGCATCCGTTGCAATACGATGCCGTACCATTCTTCGGGGCAGTGAGGACGTTTGCAACACAGTTGCTCCAAATCTATTGCACCACCCCCTTTCAGCTGGACCCCCCTTGGCTCGGCATCGCTCGGACGTGTGCATGTGTTTTTCGGCGAGAACCATCGAGAACCATCCTGAACCATCGAGCCAAAAGTACACGCACGAAACCGAAACATGCCCGGGAAATGGACGTCCGAGCGACGGCAAGCCCCTCTTTCAGCTGGACCCCCCTTGGGGGTCGACCGAAAGCTTCGAGCTCGAGCTGGCCGGGCTCGCTCTCCGAGGCGGCTTCGGCTCTCGGCGCGGGCTCCGAGAGCGGCGGCCGGGCGCCGGCACGGCGCAGCGCTGCGCACCGCCCGGCGCGCGGCTCGTCTTCGCTTTCCGGGCCGCCGCGCCCCGATCCGAAGCACATTTCGATCCGAACTAAGTTCTCGGCTGCGTTCGAAGAAGAAGAATTACGACAACAATAATAACAAGAAAAACAACGGGAAGGAAAAGGAATGCCATGAAGAGAAAGTTGTTGGCGCTCCGCGCGGATTTCTTGGATCCGCGCTGGGACCCCCCCCCGGGCGGCGCCGCCGGCGCCGCCCGCCAGGGAGGGGGGCCCAGCGCGGAGCCAAGAAATTCGCACGGAGCGCCAAAAGTTGAGGTCCACGGCGATGTTTCGTAGTCTGCGAATTCTTATGATCCTGCAAGGGTGGCTCTGGAGGCTCTGGGAGCGTGGAGACAGCAACGCCCTCGTCCAACTGCGGCAGGCGAGACAGGGAGGAGAACTGCACAAGCCTGTCCTTGCGGAGCCCCCTGCGGACTTCTTGGCGGTCGGCGCCGGGCCCCCCCCCACCTCTTGGCGCGGTCCTGCGCGAGAGGGGAGGGGCTGTCTAGGCCTCCTGGATGGGGTCCGAGTAGACGGGGTCGGAGGATCGCGCCGCATCGCCGACGCATCGACGATGCGGCTCGATGTGGAGCCCGTGTTTCCCCACGCCGACGTCGCCGATGCAGCGCCGACGTCGCCGATGCATCGCCGATGCGTCGACGATGCATCGGCGATGCAGTGGCGATGCAGCTCGATCCTTCGACCCCATCTACTCGGACCCCATCTAGGAGGCCTCTAGATTGGGGGTCCCAAAGCCGTGTAGTGACGGACCGCGCGGTGACCTCGAAATCCCAGAGACCTCACCGCGCGGTCCATCACTGCACGTGTCCTCGGAGGCCCAGGTCGCCCGAGGCGCCCTCGGAGAAAGGCCCGAGTCCCAGAACCGTGCGGTGAAACCGAACCTCCGCTGACTCGCCAGCCCTTTTTCGTCGTCCTCCTCCTCCTGCTCCTCCTCCTCGTCCTCCTCCTCCTCCTTCTCCTCCACCCTCCTCCTCCTCCTCCTCCTCCTCCTCCTCCTCCTCCTGCTCCTCCTCCTCCTCCTCCGCCTGCTCCTCCTCCTCCTCCTCCTCCTCCTCCCTCGCCTCCTCATCCTCCTCTCCTCCTCCTCCTTCCCCTTCCTCCTCCTCCCTCCCTCCCTCCCCCCTCCCTCCCTCCCTCCCTCCCTCCCTCCCTCCCTCCCTCCCTCCCTCCCCCCTCCTCTCCTCCTCCTCCGCCTCCTCCGTCCTCCTCTCCTCCTCCTCCTCCTCCTCCTCCTCCTCCTCCCTCCTCCTCCTCCTCCTCCTCCCCCTCCTCCTCCTCCTTCTCCTCTCCTCCTCCTCTCCTCAATCCTCTCCTCTCTCCTGGCTCCTCCTTTTCTCCTCCTCCTCCTCCTTGTTCTCCTCCTCCTCCTCCTCCTCCTCCTCCTCCTCCTCCCTTCTCCTCCTCCTCCTCCTCCTCCTCCTCCTCCTCCTTCTCCTCCTCCTCCTCCTCCTCCTCCTCCTCCTCCGCCTCCTCCTCCTCCTCCCCCTCTCCTCCTCCTCCTCCTGCTCTTCCTCCTCCTCCTCCTCCTCCTCCTCCTTCTCCTCCTCCTCTTCCCCCCGCCCCCTCCAGCTCACCGCTGGGGGGTGGCCCGAGGGGGGGGAAGGGGCAGCGCCGACCCCCAAAGCCCGCGCGGGCCTCCCCCAGTTTGTGCCTGCGCCAGTTTTTCCCCCCTTCAGGCAGGAGTGCAGCCGCGACGCCGACGCCAGCAGCCGCGACGCGGACGCCGGCGGCGGAGTCCGAACTCTAGCTACCTTGATGCGCTCTTGTTGGAAACGTAGTGCGTACCGTGTTCAAAACGTCCGTGCCAATACGTTGCGTGTCGGCTCAGCGTATTGGCGCACGTTTTGGCGAACGTATTGCGTTAGACCTCCGTCTTCAGTCTACGTCTTGAGCTCCGTGTCAATACGCTGCGTATCGCGTGTTGTGTATTGGAACAGCTACGGTCCGAACCCGAACCTCGCCGATCTACGATTCTGGCAGCTCGATGGGCGGCGGGGCTATGGTTTTGAGCTCGTGGAACACGTGGCGGAATCCGAGCCCCACCCCTGCCTCCCATCGATCCGCTCGGTGCGAACAGCGTTCCTGCCAGACTCGGCGCGCCTGCGTCCTCACGCGGCGTCGCCCCCCTGGGTGGCCTCGATGCCGGAGGGGCCGTCGTCGGGGAGGGAGAGAACAGAAACGCCTCCCACCGACCCTCGGCACGAGCGAAATGGGTACGGAAAGAAGGGGTACAATGCCAAACAGCAGTTCCGGTTCATTTTGAGCAGAACTCGTTGTCCGCGCCGCTGCGGCCTGCGTCCACCTG